AGAGCACATGCATGGCAAGAGCATGTAGCAGCAGGAAACCTGCATGATATTAATGGTATGCACGGCAGCAAATTTGGCAGGGAGGTGGCTGTACCTCAGAGACCCCACCAACAGTGCTGCAGTTTTACTGTGCTTTATATACGACCTGATCTGTTTTCAATAGGTTTTATATCTGGATTAGCCACGGGATGCAAGATGAATTTAAAACAGTGGTGTTACTCAAAAGCTCAGAAAGAAGGGTGCTGCATTATGAGTGAAAGAGACGATTGAAGCAATAAGAGAATGACTAAATAACATCTTTCATGTACCTATGATCTGTGAGGTGTGTGATACAACAGTTCAATCGACAGTCTGTGGAAATCTTAATGATTCCCTGCATTGTCAGTAAAAATCTGAATTACTATGACTTTTTCAGCTCCGTGGCAAGCAATGCAAATCATGAGGTTCATATATTTACCACACGAGTTATTTTAAAATGTGATTTTGCCAGCCTGTGATATATACTGTAGATAGGAGACAAAGTAAAAACAGCTGCCATGAGTCACCAGCACAGCTTTAATAAAAGCATAAAAAATATTGGAAACATATCTATCATACCTGTCACTCTAAAATATTGTTTTATTGATAAAGTCACGCTGGTCCTAACATATGATTCACATCATTTTCATACTCTTCAAACCATTCAGTGACCCCCTTGTAGCCTATAATAGATGGAGAATTCTGAATCTTTTGTTTCAACTCGTTTCCTCTCGATTTCATAAATTCCAGTCGCATTGCTGCAGGGATAACTGGTATAACTTCAGTGTTTAATCCTGTGTCACTGGAGGATTAGCAAAGTATGAATTTCATATGGTGCAATGTCCGTTTTACTGTACATATGACAATAATGAGCTAAATCTTGAATCTGTCGATTATTTCAGTCCTGATCTAAATATAAATATTTGCTGTGAGGACCTTCCCAATGACTGGTCACCCACTCTGAGTTTTGACATTTTTATTAAAATATCTGAGAAATAATTGAAAAGATTGCTGTAAAAGTTTGCCAGGACATTTATTTTCCCCTGGGGATGAATTGTGATAAGATCCCCTGACTTTGAGACTGTCGTCAGATTTGTGTAATATTGGGCGTTATGACCAAATACTTGTGAAACTGCTGACACTCATCAATATCTGCTGTACTTTATGTTTAGTGCCTATGAGAAAATGTGTTTGTGTTAACGCACTTTAATAGACTGGTCCACATGTTACATTCTACCTTGTTAAAATCAATATATTGTCATTGTGGCCATCTTTGCATGCTGACATTAGCATTTTAACAAGTCTGAACTTTATATGAAAGTAGATGAGATGACTTCTAACCCAAAAGTGAAGCCAAAATGGCTCAATCACCTCCCGGGGGCTGCTGCTGTATTAGTCATAAACCCCACCTCCTCCATGTTAGCAGATGGGACATGGACTAAACTAAAAAGTCAAAGTACACAGCAAATGCATTTAGATGGCTTCTGTAATTTATGGCAGTTATCACACTGATGTTTGTCCAAGTGTGAATATTTCCTGTATGTTAGGTTTTAAATATGTTATTTGATGCGATTAAAAACAAGGTGAAACATCATGACTGACAGCTGACAGACTCGCAAATTGTCAAGCACTTGCATCAGTGAGACATCGATACCGCAGCTTCATCAACTGATGGGTACTGCACAGACTCTGGCTCCAAAGGCACAAAATGGCAGCATACTTATCAAGAATATTTTGGCTTCGTTTCTAGATAGTAGGAGGAAGTGGAGAGGCATCGTCCATCTTTATAGACACACACATACAGGCTTGTTTGTATCTCCTACATGGATAACGAGCATGTATATGCATCAGTGAAAATATAACAAAACAAATAGGCAATAAATGTTGTGAAATACAAAGTTAACCAGCAGTAATGTTTATCAGCTGCCTCGTGTTTGCCTCATAAGTCACTACAAAGTAAAAATGCAAGTGTAATCAAGTGCAACAGTATGATTGTACCAAACACTTTGTAGCAGTGTATGGAGGCACAGAACACCACGTTCACAGCCGGGAACTAACAGCAGATGTATCAGAACTTCACAGAGTGGTTGCACAGTACGACAACATGGACACAAACTAGCAACAAATGTTAAGAGTACGTGTTGTTGGAGGAGGAAATTAATCATTTTTGCCTTTTCTGCCTTACACATCCTCCAGTGAGATGTTGAATATGATCAAGCTCTTCTCTGCACATGCATCTGATATTATAGTCCCATCCAATTATGGTCGGAATAAAAATGTGCAATGATGCAAATTATGATGGGTGGAGGAGCTTTTCTCAGTTCCTCTCCTCCTCCATTTGACAGATGCTGCAATTCATGACGTGAGACTGGTGCATGTTAAATACCGAGCATAGCCAACACTCTCATTCGGCTTAGCTGGTGGTCCCTCAGAATTATGGTTAAGGAAATGTTTTGTGCGTGTGTATGTGTGTTTTTAACTTTTGAAAGAACAGACAGAACCACGCTCTGTAAAGCCATCCTAAAAGCATCCATTATGTCCTGCCTCATGTGCTGTCTATGAACACCACATGTTGCTGGTCAACTGTGGGAGAAAATATGACTTTCTAAATCACTTGTGGCAGGTTTACAGCACACTTCCCTCAGTGTGTGTCTGTCCTGCTCTCTTTGTGTCTGTGTCTTGTGCAAACACACATAAACACACATATAAAACCACGCATATATATACGTGTGCAGTGGCCAAAAGGAGACACCATCGCTCAAGCATTCAAGTAGATGAGCCAGCCACAGAGGGAGGGACATTATCATCTTTTATTCTTTGTGAGGAGAATCATAAAAGTGATGATTTTACACAAACACACACACGATTTCTAAATTCTACTCATCATTGTAAAAGAAATACATGGCAGAGGTCCAAACTACATCAAGAATGTATTAACGTCCCGTCTGCCTGGGCATTCATTCTCTTCGATCTGTGGACAGTGCTCTATTCCAGATCCCTCTGGTAACTAAGGGTGACCGGGCCTTTGCTGTGAGAGCCCCAAACTTTGGAATTTGTAGAGATCTGCCGGCAACGTGATTTCTGTCCTCAAAATATCTTTATATTTTTTATTCACAAATCTTTGACATGTGTTTTATTGTATTATTTATATGTGTAACTTCGTTCTATTCCGCCCTGTTTCTTTCTTTATTGCCTTCCTTTTATTTTTTTCTTCTAAGCACTGTAACTCTGTAAAAAAAAAAGTGCTACATAAATAAAGTTTATTATTTTTATAACATTTAATATAAAGCTGACATCAGTGACCAAGAATTTTAAATAGGTTTTGTTAGATATATTTTTTAAAGTCAGTATAGACTGTTGCCACTTTCATAGTATATATGTATAGCTATATATCTAAGTTCAGATCACACCCAAGATGCTTTGAGGACACGTTTGAGAGCCGATCACTCAGACCACATTCAGAAGTAGTTTGACACATATCACCTCATTCTTTAAAGAGCTTAAAATGTGTCCTGCATAGGGGGTCAAAGACATTACACAGCAAGACGTGTGATTATTCTCTGTGGCGTCATCACGACGAGCAACAACTTTCACAATGCACATTATTTCCATTGTCAATTTGAATATATTGAATAATGTTAATTTAAGTAAATGGAGTTCATTTATTTCCAATGCTGAAGCTTCCTGACAGTCATTAGTTTCACAGGGAGCATCAAATCTTAACAGTTGAGTCTACATATGACTGAACTGAGACTTAAAGTGGCTCCTCAACATCATAATCCAGTTTTACTCTATATTCGACAGCGGATTGTCAACAGAACTTTTGAGAATAGGAACAAAGAGAAGGTACATCATGGGTCTGTTAATCCGCTGCCCAGGTCTTTATATTCTCTCTCAGATATCCTTTTAAATAGATGCAGAAGTTATTTAAGCCAGTCTTCATGTTAAAAATGGATTTATTTTTAATGTAGCTTGACAATGTCTTGTTCTTTCCACTTGTTCCATGTGTTTCCATGTGGTCTGTTCAAATTAAGGATCTGTAACCACCAATGTGAACTATATTGTGCTGGACCCTGGATTTGCCAAGACACAAACTTAAATCAATCTCGTTCTGTAAAAAGAGAAATACTGAGTGCAGCTTTCATGAAATCCTTCAGCCAAGAGTTTGAGCAGGCCTCGCTGTTCCAACCAGAAGAAAACCATTCTCTCCTCCCCGCAGAATAATTCAAGATTTTTATGTTAAGTGTGTGCAACCTCAGAATAGAAGCCAGTCCTGCTCATTAAACCAAAGAATAAAAGTTCAGTAAAATTGATAATTGTTGAGCTCTTTTTTTTTCCAGCTGAGCACCATTTTGAATCAAACAGAATATGTCTTCAATAATGTGTTTGATTGGTCCATGCTGAAAGAGTTATGAGTTCAAGTCCACCACCGCCACAGACCAGTATGGCATTCAAATCTGTGTGGCCATGTGTAGAAACACTCCATCAAACTACTGACCCAGAAACAGTCGGACATCTTTGGATCCAGGATGACATTAAGTTACATGAAGGCTTGTACATCTGCCACCAGAACCAATCTCTGGCAACACACTAAACAGGTTCTGTTGGAAATTCTGCCTGGTGCCTTGCTAAACTACTCACCCACTGACTGAAGACGTTCATAATGTATGAAAAGAACAACCTCAGAGCATCCAGAGCCTGAGGTTACAGTAACAAATGCAATGGAAACCTCAATAATCTGTCTGATGCATTGTAACTCTGCAGAGTGAACTTTTATTCCACTGGATATTATACAGGTATTTAGGTTATTAAGGTTTAAGTGTATATATTTAGACACATTGGCTGAACACAGAGACAGAGGCACAATAAAAGTTCACTTGCTCATTTAACACCAAGTCCAAAGATGACTATAGGAAGCAATATATGATAATATGATGTTCACTTGCAACCAGGAGTGTGTTCCAAGTCCGACAGAGTCCTACCCTCGATCCAGAGAATGTTTGTGAGTCCAGGGTCAGCCCGGTTCAGTGAGACAGGAAAACAGAGCGGTCCTGAGGTCCTGAGCTTTCCAAGAGTTCGATGAGGCATTAATACCTCAGAGCACATGATGATCATTCAGAGTAACGGTGTTGGAGACAGTCCTCTTCCATGCTGACGCAGGAGGCAGTTGATTGATGAATGAACTGCAGGTGGTTGATTGAGTTGGAGAAGGAGGTAACTGGAGGCCACGCCCATCCAGCAGTACACACACAGGTGAGAGCAGACACACACACACACACACACACACACACAAGCATCCAAACTTAAATCCAATATGAAGATTGTCTAAGTGAGACCAGAAAAATGGCCACTACAATTGCTTCTAAGGATGTAATCTAAGGTTCATACTGAAGTACGGAAAACTTTGCAAGAACTAAAGAAAGTCAACAATAACTAACAGATGAAATTGTGACAAAGATTAATTAAGTAGATTTCATTCTAATTATGTATTGGAGTGAAAGTGCTCATACGAGGAACACTACATCTTTCCACTGAATGTGAAAGAGGAAAATAAAACCACGATGGAGGGAAAATGAGGGTTTGATAAAAGAGACAGTGTAACCCAGCTGAGTAATGTAAGTGGCAGATGTATTGAAAACAATATCCCATCCACCAGTCTTGCCAAATTCAGTTACAGATTCAGCTTTAACCTATTGGATCCCCGGAGCTGTTTTGAAGGGAGTGAGCAGGAAAGCAAACAGTATTAATCCTCAAAAAGTTCAAAATACCTTCCTGTCATAACAAAGGATCGAGCCCTTGTTCTGCGTAAAGTCTGCAAAATAATATTAAGTGCAGATGTGAAGGAAGATGGAGGCATAAACACAGGGCCCTGTCTTTTCTAAATGTTTAAAAATGAGCCCTAATGCAGACGGGCTGCGGGTATTTGCCCAGCTGTTGCATAAATAAGCAGAGAGATTCAAAGGCTGGATAACCTCCGCCAATGCCCATCAAACCAAACAGATGAGAGGCCGTAGTAATCTGCTCCGTTCTCAAATGGGACAACACTGACTCCAATTAGCCTCCATTCCCAGATCCATAGGGGGAAGAAGGTGGAGGCCTGAAGAAGAAACAAAAAAGGAATATTGCGATCCTCCTTATATTTTACTGACCTAGTGCAGTGGCTGTTCTCTTGTCCTGTGGTAATGCTCCAGAGCTACTTCAGATTTATTTCTTTTTATTAGTGAGTCCTCCTCAAACAGTTCTACAATATACTGTCCCTTTTTATTGTTTTTGTGCTGGACGTTGTGTGCAGAGCTTTATTTAAACAGTCTATGGTGCAGAGTGAATTTAGAAAACTTTGTGTTCATCCTATTTGCTTTCTTACTCTTCAGGTATGTGGTTCATTTATAAGTTTGTTTCTAAGATTGGATGGTTATTTTTTCATACATTGCATTTTGACTATTTCAAAGGTTTCTAAGCAAGTGACACAATATTTAGGCCCAAGTTCACAACCGTTCAAAATAAAAGCTGTGTAATTAACAGCATTACAGCACCAAAATAAATGTTAGGCTTATACTTTGAAGATAACTCAGTTATGAGGAAGGGATTCCATGAATGTTGTTATAATCGGCGCCTGTGCTGTGTGTCTGTGCCCGTCAGATATGGTGAAATAAAAATAATCAAATTGTCAAACCCACTGCTTGAGGACGTAGAAGAAGACACATTCAACCCCGCCTCCACCGCTACAGAGCACTGGTCAATCTTTATTAATATTGAACATTCTGTGCGTACAGATTGCACCAAAGTCAGCACTGGAACAGTTCATGATATATGCATTCACAGATGTTCAAGGAATTTGCAGGTAGATGCACTCCTCACCTGTCATCCAGGAACCTCATAATGCTCAATGACATGATGTTTTGCCATGTAATGACAATTTTTTTTTTACTTTCCTTATAATTAAACCACATCTGTTAACATCAGTCCTTTAAAAACACTGATTTCATATATTCGTGCAATCACCTGCTGCCATACTGAGCATCCTGTACTGTTAGGACACTCACTCTCTGACTCGCTGTCAAATTGCTGATTAATTACACCACCTCCGCTTGCATAAGGAGCGAGAGAGCTCTGGAATAACTTGCTGTAGGATCCTTCTGGAAACGTATCGGACGTCTTTCAAGAGACTCCAGAGATGTTTTCACTACTGTTGAGATTGGAGGGGACAGAGAGCGCCGAGCGGTAATTAAAGTAAGGTGGAAGAAGTGAGCTGACATTCATCAGGAGCAAGGGGGGGCCGGGGGGGCGGGGGGACTGATGCTGATCTGCGTGCCAACAGAACCCTAATTCTTCAGTCTTCTAAAGTTTGTTTTGCCACAGTACGGCCAATTATTTAGCCCAATCTCATACTTCCACATTTAATCCTCACTATTGATTGTACAAATACAATTTTCAAAGTTGTTATGTAATTAAACGTATGCTTTGCTGCTGGAAACTTCAAAGCAGCGGCTGTTTCTGAGGACATCGCTTGCCGCTGAGGTAATAATTTCCCTGGGATATTTAAAACAAACACATTAGGCCTGAAAGAATTCAAAACTTGTCTCGGACTATAATGCCCGGCCTTTTGATTGGCACGAGGTGTGGCGTGCCTCTTTTCAGTGGAAAGCAATAGTCGTCTTTAACAGCCTGCGTTTCCAAGCTCCCATGCAGTGTAAATTATAGGATAATAGGGTGCAGGCGATTGCAGACTCTGTTTATTCAATCCATTTCTTCACATAAGTTCCCATTGCCTTTTTCCGTCTCTCTGCTGTGTGTGTGGTGGTCCTGTGATCCTGCTGACCCTCGACATGTGTTTTCACTTTCGGCTCTGATCTCAGCTCTGCGACCAGCGGGGAACCAAATACAAATTGAACAGTAACCATTCACAGGCCACTCTGTTTCATACCGCCGTTAAACCCGCTTTGTCTTCCCCAGGAGGAGCTCGGGGCATCGCAGTTTGGTCACGGTGCCTTTGCAACTGCTCCCCTCGCAGCAGTTTTTGTTGCAGCCATCCAACAACAATGCGGTTTACTGGCAGTTCATAGCACATATTACATCTTTTTTTTCTACAAAGTCCCATTATTACCCCAAAGAATCGACAAACGCAAGCTGAAAACCTTTAAATGTGCAATGACTCTTTCTCAGAGCATCAAGAATGAAGAGCTGCGGCCCAGAGAAAACACTTTGGAGAGGAACAAATCGCCAGTGTTTGGGTGGTGTGCTTTTTATTATTTCAGTTAAGGTGAAGTTTTCATTAGGCCCATAAGCCCCCCCTTTTGAAAGCGAGCCCTTTTTCTGTGAAACTCGTTGGACAGCAGCCGCTCACAAGTGGCAGGGTATGTTTGTTCAGCTTTTATTGGGAGATGTGGTTTGAAGAAGTTAAAAAGAGCCCTTTTGTTGTTCTTGGGGTTCATATTTTCTCTGGAGTTGCTCCACGCGCTGTGTTTATTCCCCCGACTGAAAATGAAAAGGGTAAAACCTGAACGCAATAACTCACCTAAAGTGAAGACAAACTCTCAGAAGACTCCACAGATAATCTCCCAGATAAAGATATGAATCAGGCGGGGTGAAAACCGTGAGCTACTTTTATTGAAGGTGCTTGCCAGACTCCGTGTTTAGACGGTTTAACTTTCACGCTTTAAATGGCCGGCGGACCTTAGTGAGCAGTTTAGTGGCCGAACATGAAATAATCCACAAAACTGAGCCTGGACTTAAACCAAAGCTGTGATATTTGATCAAATGATACGGAGCAGATAACGTCTACATGCTATTGCTGTAAAATCAATAAAAACAGGACATGCCTATATTCTACAGTGCGTTAAACATCTCTACACGTTGGTTTCTAATGTGATTCTCAATAATGGTCTCTTCGCTGGGATTCTCCCTCAGAGCCTCTTTATGAGAGTAAAAACACGCTCATCACCTGTTTCACATTACAGTTTCACGCATGCAGCCCCAACCCCTGGTATCTTGTAAACTCTGCTTCATTTACTTAGCCTGGCTTTCATTGCAGCCATTTTGCATGGTTTACCTTTGTTTGGTTTATTAACCCAGGGGGTTCCTCAACCTAAACATCCCAGCTGAACGCCTCCGCTTTACGTTTCAAAGTTTTTAGAGAGGTCTGATTTTTTTAAAACATTGTTGAAAGTGACAGAGCGTGAGGAGGACGGAGTCGATGATCGACTCTGACAAATGTTTATCAGGAGGGAATGTGATTGGTAGATGACATATTGAGGATTTCTTTTATACAAAATCAAGTATTTAAATTGCGTTTTAGATCTAAAGCACAGATTTTATTAAATGAGTGTTTGACTTTTAGATTGAAATTTGCTTAAATTTAAATAAAACTATATTTTTGTTTAATTTGGACATCAAACATGGTCTCTGAATTAATTTCTTCTATCTAACTTCCAGGCTGCATCAGTTTCATCAGCACATGGTTAAAACTCCAATTCTCAAAACAGCATGAGACAGAAGGAAAAAACCTAAAAAACCTGTGCATGCACTGCACGTCGAGTGAGACTGTTCTCGTTTGCTAAACCAAAAATATCCCCGGTTTAAGGACCAGCTCCACGCCGCTGACTGCTGGTGCTCGGTTCCCATGCTCCGGCATTGTGTATCTTCCAGCTGCAGCCAGGGAAAATGGGGGAGGCGCACTCATGGGTGGTCTGCCCCACATGGTCCCACACTCTGCGGTTTGCGCCCTACATCTGATAGCAGTGGCTCAGCTGGGGCGCGCACAGCTCACAGTCTCTGTGCCATTTTACTGCAACAATCTCGAGCTCCGGGAGGAGGCTGGAACTGTTTACTGTGCAACGTCTTCATCAGAGCGGCACGCTGCACAGCTGGCTCTCCATCAGCTCTCCATACACCAACACCAAGGTCTCTTCACCAAAGGATGTTGTAAAGTTCTCCGAGCGTTTTTACCATTAATCAGACAGACAATGGTTCTTAGTAATTGTAACTTTTATCTTTTCATCCACTTACACCTGCATGCTGCTTTTCAAACAATACTTCCAGTAATGGACACTGCTATCATGCTCAGTTGAGAGAGCATTAACTACTCGTGCTGCACCATAACCATTACCCTGCACACGTTTGGCTTAAAGAGACTCTCACACACCCTCGCTCTGGGGTTAAAATCGATTATTTCTCCACCAGACGGGTTTGCGGTGATATTTCAATTTCAATCCTGAATGTCACACAGTCGAGTTA